ATGGAAGTATTTCGGATTGCATGTGAAAACCCCACACTGTACCCCAGAAGTGCATTAATGTACATAGTTACCATTCAATAAAAAAAAAAAAAGGAAAGAAAAGGTATTTTTGTTTGGAATTTTAACTCAAGACATAAAAGGGGGCTTTATGCCCCTTACTTGGAGGGAGACAGATCTAGAGGTATGTGTGATTTCCTAAGATTTAGTAACTACTTTATTAAATAATTATTGCAATTAATTTCAGTCTTTAAATAAGATACATCAGCCCTATTAAAATATGCAGAGAGTATTCAACATGTTAGTAAAATTATGCAACTAAATCCATTAATGATAAATATCTCATGGTTTGAAGGAAAAAGCAAGGAGATTTAGAGATCATTCATATCATGTCTGAGTGACGCAAAGGAGAGAAACTTGCCATTCCACAACTGATCCCGTGATGCTTCTCTACTGAACAGTTTAGTCCAGCAGGTCATGTGTATTGTTTAGGATGGAAAATGAACACAGAAGAAATGAATGTGGAGTGCTTGCTTTGGCAGCACATATACTAAAATTGGAACGGTACAGAGAAAATTAATATGGTCCTTGTTCAAGGATGACATGCAAATTCGTGAAGCATTCCATATTTAGAAAAAAAATGAAAGGAATGTGGATATTTTATAATAAAATATGTTAACAATGGGCTCCTCTAAAGAGATCCCCCAAGATACTTAGAAGACTTTTTTTTTTTTTTTTTTTTTTTTGAGACCGAGTCTTACTTTGTTGCTCTCTGTAGAGTGTCAGGGCATCAAAGCTCACAGAAACCTCAAATTTCAGGGCTCAAGGGATCCTCTTGTCTCAGCCTCCTGAGTAACTGGGACTATCAGTACCCGCCAACAATACCTGCCTATTTTTAGTAGAGATGGGGTCTTTCTCTTGCTCAGACTGGTCCCAAACTCCTGAACTTAAGCAGTACACTTCCACCTCTTAGAGTGCTAAGATTACAGGCGTGAGCCACCACACCCGGCCTCAAAGACTTTCTTAATTATATTTTGAAGGAGACTGGCCTATACTTGTACTTGCAAAATGCATGCAAAGATATAAAGCTCAGTGCTCTGAAGCAGGAGCGATTGCCATCTTCATTTTTAAGCCTGTTTTTCATGACATTCCTGGGATTCTGTATCTCCGTTAGAGCCTCTTTGACTATTAGGACAAGGCTAAAATTCAATTATCCCTCCAAGTAGTTACTCAGTGACTGTATTCCAAGGAGGGAACTCCTGAAAAATCATTTCTAAGCAACCAACTGGTATAAAACACAAAGTCCCCCCTCTTCTGATTTGCAGTAGAGTTGCTATCACATTGTTTCAACTTATTTTCAGATTTGAACTGGTGTCTGCTGCAGCTTCAAAATGCACTTTAATTTCCTCATGTGTCATCCAGGGCTTATCAGTTATAGAATCACTAAGAAAAGGAGAAACTTTGAACATGGCTACTTTTTTAGCTTGAGCTTTACAAATAACGTTGACCATCAAGAATCTGACTCTTCCACAACAGCACTGAGATAACAGTTTCCTTTCATTCATCCACGATGAAATGCTTTTTCTCAGACATGGTTGTGATTTTGTTTTTTAGTTTCCTTACATTTTCCAACTAATCCAGATACATACAAGTAAACACACTAATAATTGTTTAACTGATTGCTGTTTTAGCTCCACTGCCTTATCAAAATAAAAAGGAATGCTTCGTTTATTTCTGGTATTTCCTTCATATTGCCTATGTGGACATTGTACCTGATTCTTAGGCATCTTTGCTTGTTGGCTTCAATGGAACATTCAAAAGCACCAAAACCACACATCTGAGACCCGCCTTGCCTCAAGAGTAGAGCTGGTTTAAACGGACTCTTTCCAATGCTTCATTGCTCAGCACTCACCCTGGAGGTCCGTTCAAGGCCAAGATTGCATGTTCTCCAAGCAGTGACCCTGATGAAGGAACAGTTATTAGTGGCTGTGTAAATGCTGAGGAGGTGATTTAGCCTATTTGAACAATAAAACTGTCTTTTAAACAGGTCACTGTTTTTCTCAGAAGTACTTCTTTTTTCTTTTAAATGAAAAAGGTCCTAAGAGAAAAAGAGCTGAATAAGGAAAACTAAAGTATAAAACACAACTCTAAGAAAAAGGAGGATAATGTGTCAGGCCCCTCCCCTATTGGTTTAATTCTCTCTGCTACTCTCTATATATCTCTACTTCTAAGCGAAAACTAGAATCATTGTTAATTAAAATATAATCTCTGGAATGGGAGCAGTGGCACATGCCTATAATCCTAGCACTCTGGGAGGCCGAGGAAGGTGGATTGCTTGAGGTCAGGCGTTCAAGACCAGCCTGAGCAAGAGTAAGATCCCACCTCTACTAAAACAGAAAAAACTAGCAGAGTAATTGTGGTGCTGATAGTCCCCATAGTCCTAGCTATTGGGGAGACTGAGACAACAGGAGCACTTGAGCCCAAGAGTTTGAGGTTACTGTGAGCTGTGGTGATGCCATGATACTCTACTCATGTCGACAGAATAAACAAATGAATAAAATATAAACTCATTAACATGACAACGAGGTCCTACAGGAAATGTCCTAACTTCTGATAACCAAGTTTTCTTGAGAAACACTAACATTATTACTTTAGTGAAAGAAAGCCTGAATGAGCAAAAAATGTTGGTTCAACTATCACCTTGTGAGATGACAGTTCACACAGTTGCCCTTTTGTGTTGTTTTTCTTAAAATTGTGTTGTTGTTCTGAAAATTCCTCTACTCCATATCTGTGAGCAGAGACTACCACACTTCAGGATTCAGAACACGTGCCGCCTCTCAACTCTCCACCCACTGTTTCCCCCTAGAAAGAATAGTACCACTTATTTATGAATATTCAACCACAGCACCTGTATTATTTTATCACAGGAATAAATTCATTCTACTGTATTTCCAACTAGATTATAAACCCTTCAGAAAAAAAAAAAATTGTCTTCTTCATTTTTCTATCCCAGAGCTTAACCCAGCACCTGGCACAGAGTTGGTATTCTAGAAGTGTAGACTGAATCACACAAAAGGCAGTGCAATTAAATCAAAAGAATGGGCAAACAGATCTTCAGTTTTTAAAAAATGCCTTTTAAATCTATAAAGATGTAAACACTTCAGAAGTCATTTAGTTTTGCACTTTTGCGTTATACATAAGAAATGTGAGAATTTACATATTTTCTAATAGACTACCTAATGTGGGGACCTACCTCCATTAATGTTCATGTCACACTTCCTTTCCATTCATTATGAGTGACTAACCATTCAAATACCGTAGAAATGAAAATCCTTTTGTCAGTTTTTAAAAATAAATACTTTCTCATTAAAAACTATCTTTTGAAAGCTTACCAAGTGCAAGGGACTGAACTAATCCCTGAAAAGTAAAAGAAAAAATATAATTTACTATCCCTGAGCTCAGAGAAGTTGTCATTATTGTGGTTGAACGAGAATTGTGCTTTGACATGTATCATAGTTTCTCTTGCCAAATGTTTACAATAGAAACTAAGAAATATAACTTACATCTTTCTTCTCATGACATCCACAAATCAATTCCATGATGTTTACATGTTCAGAGGATAGAAGGAAGTAAGGATGGACTGAAAGAGGGAAGATGGGAAGGAGAGAAGGAAGAAAAAGGTAGCGAGAAGGAGGGAAGGAGAAAAGATGGGAGAGAGAGTTCTCTTTCAAGTCTTAAAGACCTGCTATAGAAATTTCAATTTTTTTTTCTTTTAATAAGTTTATTTTATTGTGTTATTTTTATATTCCCCTACTTTCTAATTTATTTTTTCTTACACAAACAATGGGTGATTATACTGCTACCAATGCCATTAAAATTTATGTACTTTTTCCCCTACTTGGAACTTTAGAGTAAATATAATTATTTAATCTTATTGATGTTCATTGCTCTGTTGCAGCAGCTCATTTGCATACATATTTCCTCAAATAATTTTCTTACTGAGATTTGGGGAACTATTAGGTTATATTAGTTTAAATCAATAGATATTATTAAAGTAAGAGTTACAGAATATGTTGATGATAAACCTTTCCTAAAAAACTTAAATACTACATTATGTCACTTAATCCTCCCAGAAAAATAAGTCTTTGATTTCTATAATCTGTAAATTTTAGAGTAAAAGAGATATAAAAATATTAGAATGAACTTGGACAAAATCACTTAGCAAAATATGATCGAAGTGAGAAAAATAATTTTAAAATCTGCAGCTTTTTTATAAGGACATCCAAGTACATTAAATTTCCCTAAACTTCATTGCATTGTAGTGTGTATGAGAATGATTAAAATGAGGAAATAATTTTAAACTAAATTCTTTTGAAATTACAAACACTTGTTGTATACCCAACGGGCCTTTCTTTATATTGTGCACAAAATTAATCCCTATGGGAAAAATCAAGGCCTATAAACCCTTGTTACTCTTTTTAAGAATATGTAAAATAGTTGGGTTACTTTGAGAGGCCAAGGCAGGAGAATTGCCTGAGCTGAGGAGTTCGAGACCAGCTTGAGCAAGTGTGAGACCCCCATCTCTACTAAAAATAGGAAAATAAGCCAGGCATTGCAGCGTGCACCTATAGTACCAGCCACTCAAAGGGTTGAGGCAGGAGGACCTTAAGTCCAAGAGTTTGAGGTTGCCATGAGCTATGGTGACACCATGGCACTCTACTCAGGGGCAAAAGGGTAAGACTCTGCCTGAGGAAGTTTTTAAAAATTAAAATAAAATAAAGTAGTTGGGCTAAAATTTCCTGATCATAAAATACAGTTCTAGAACTTATAATAAAAGAGATATAGTCTAACAACTAATGGCAAAATGAATGACACTCTACTACTATTTCACATTGTTCTCAGATTCCTTCTTCCAAAACTGAAAGGACAAATCCTTGAAGTGAGGAGAACACCAATATGGGAAACACGAATATTGACTAATATGCTACAATGGCAGAAGCCCATTACCATGGTAACACAACAGCTTAATATCATTTTACTCTTTGAAATTTCTTAAGGTACGATATAATGTCAAAATTAACAAACCAACAAGATGACATTATGTCCTAGAGCAATCATTGTGTATCATGGGTGATAATAGCATATTTTACTTTACATTTTAATAACTGTGTGAAAGCATCCTGATGACCCTGTGTGATCTTAAAGAAATAGATTATACTTTTAGCAACTTATTTCTTCCATTTCTAAACAGGTGCCAACTTTCTATAGGCAGAGACGTGCTGAGAAAATTCCTCACATAGCACTAATGTCCTATTTAAAAGTGGTCCAAATGGCAGATCTATTTTTAGTTCTCTAAGTGTTCTCCACACATCTTTTCTCCACATCCACACCAGCATCTCTGGTTTTGGGATTTTGTGATGTGGGCTAATCTTACTGGAGTTAGATGATATCTCAATGTAGTTTTGATTTGCATTTTTCTGATGTTTAAGAATGATGAGCATTTTTTCGTCTCTGTAGGCCATGTGCCTGTCTTCTTCACAGAGAAGTTTCTCTTCAAGTCCCTTGCCCACCCTAAGATGGGATCACTTGTTCTTTTCCTGCTAATATGTTTGAGTTCTATGTGGATTTGGTTA